ATTAAGGCATTTCAGCTATGATAGGACTGAATTTCATGCTCCTCTAGTATCAGACATTACTACCTAAAATAGATCCAGCTCACTGTGGGCTGAGCCAGTTTCCCTTATGCAGCAGTGGACAGCAGCTCACCAGGAGAAGGGTAGTGCAGGGGCACACCCGAGCTGCTCAGGAAAAATCCATGCACACAGCCCTCTGCAGATGAAAGTTAGGGATTGCAGGTGAAATGTAGAGATTAATCACCAGAAGGATCAGTTGATAACATTCAATAGCAATTCTGGTAGGGTCTGTGTCAGAGAAAGACCTATGCTTTTGGCTAGCCTTTCCTGATGAGGTGTTTTTAGCCAGAGCAGTCTCTGATAAGATTTTGAGTTGTTCTTTCAGGTTTTTCCCTTAAATAATTCACAGTCATCATAGAATGGCTTCTATTGGAAAGGACTTTAAAGGTCATCACGTTCCAACCCCTTGCTGTGGGCAGGGACACCTTACACCAGGTCAGGCTCTCAGTGCCCCATCCAACTCAGCCTTGAGCACTGTCAGTCTTTTGTCACATGAGAGGTGCTTCATCCCTCTGATCACCTTGGTGGCCTCCACCAGACATGCTCCAGCAGGTCCATGTCCTTCCTGTGCTGGGAACCCCAGAGCTGGATGCAGCACTGCAGGTGGGATGTCAGGAACAGAGGGACAGAAGGAGTAGAGGGGCAGAACCTCCTCCCTTGCCCTGCTGGCCATGCTGCTATGTTGGACATGTTTGGCTTTCTGGGCTGTGAGCACACATTGCCAGAGGTTCCAACGCATGTGCTGACAAAACTTGATACAACAGGATGTCCCCAGAGCAGGCTGTCAGATGGCTGATGTCAGAGCTGCCACCATTCCATGCACCTCAGCAGAGCTTGAGTAATTTCTGCAGAGGGAGGCTTTGCCATACTTCTGTGGGTGTTGCTTTAGGGGAAGGTGTCCTGCACACCCTGTGCTAAGCAGGGGTGGCTGTACCTGCTGTCCTCACAGGAGAGAGCTGCTCCATTCCCCTGGCTGGATGAAATGAGTTAGAAATGAGACATGAATGTGGATGTGGGCACAGCCTGGTAGTTTTGACATCCATATCCAACTCACAAAATGTATTGACTTTGGAGACATTGAGAGAATTCCACTCTGACTTTTAGTGTGTCTCAAAATTCTACTGCTTTCTTTTCTCCTTCCAGAATGTTCTGTGTATTGTCAGATACAGATATGAGAAAGCTGGATGTGGTCTGTGGGGAAGGTGGGGAGGAGAAGAGAGAAGATAAAAGTGAAGTTAGAGACATTTCAGAGCTGAGCACTACTGAATGTATTTAAACCCTGAGCAAATAACTGATGAAAAAAAGGTATTGTTTTTATTCATCTTACAGGGGACTAAAATATCTGAGTATTTTTAATGCAGATTTTTTTTTTTTTAATTGCTGAGTCTGTGGAACTGCCACGAAATTAACTCCTTAACCTACTGAAAATGGCACAGCATTTCCAGTATATTCTGTGGAAGCTGGATAAAGGTAGAGGTTTTGCACCTGGTAGAAGTTATCCAGAATCAGGGCAGTGTGTGGCAAGCAGTTAACTGGGCAAATAGATCCTCCTCTTCAGTGGGCATTTTTCCTCTAAAACAGATCCAGCCACAGCTTCTCGTCAGGTGAAGATTGGAAAGGATGATAAGTGCTGCCCTAAAGCTTTTGCATTCCAGCCTTTTTCCAGTAGTACAAGCTGGAGTAGGAATAGCACCCAGGCTTGTGACTGAATGTGGCCAGGGGTGTGCTGGGAGCTCCTGGCAGTCGCTGCCAGTGCTGAGGAGCACGTAGCGATACCAGAGGTACCCAAGGAGTGCACATGGAAAGATATGATTATTAAAAGAAAGAGGAATGTAGCTATAAACCTACACTGTGAAGAAATTATTGTAGAAAGATTGTATCTCATTTAATTATATGTCCTTGGATGAAAATGTATTAAAACAAATGTAACTCTCAATAGTTGAGAGTCAAGCTGCAAATATGAATGAATATCCTCATTACTGTAGACAATTACATCTAATAATCTAAAGTTCCATGTGTGAATTTACTACAAATTTTTTCTGTACAAATGCATAAAAGGGTTTCATTTGTTATTAGATGGAATTTACCTAGTTTTCAATCCAACAGATATGACTTTTGCTTCTCTAGTCTCTATCAAAGATCAAAGCACCATTTCTGTAGGTGCTAAAGAGGTTGCTAAGAAGAGTATTGCAGAGGCCTTACAATACAAAGGTGGTGGTTGCAAAGGAAGGATAGCTCATTCTTTCCTCTCCCTCATTAAAACCCCAGCCAAGACAATGTTTTATGGATAGGCAACTTAAGAGGCACAAACAAATTGCCTGTGCCAGTGCTGATGCCTTCATTGCTGTGAAATGGAGTGGAAGAATAACTGATTTAAATCCAATTCTGCTTCTGGAGTTGGCTTCAAGTCCCTGCTGCATGGTGGAGTACCAGGGGTTTCACACTGACTTTCCATATCACACTATCTGAATCGTGGTTTCCTGCTTTTGTCAAATGAACCTGCCTCTTGCCTTTGGGAGTCTCGCAGGAGTTTTTAGTTAAAGGGCTACATTCACTCAAAGGCTATGAATGAGTCTGGAAGGAGTTAGGTTTGGAGTAGGCAGCTAAACTCAAGTAGAATTGAAATAAGCATTCCAGTAACAGAGTTGGTCTCTGAAACACAGTGTGCCTGGCACCAAGAAGACCAGCTGTGACACTGCTTCTAATTCTTCACACTGCCCTTTTGACATGTAACTTTTTCTGTATCAGTCTTTGAGGATGGAAAAACAAAGCCTTGTCGTGAAGGTGACTGCACAACCACAGTGAGCCATGGTTTCAGCATGCTCCTGGCTGGCTCAACGAAGGGAGAAAACCTTCAAGTAATGTTTGCTGCTGTGGTTGGTGACATTATCAAATTTCCCAGTGCAAATACCTTTGAGAGGAGCAAGCCTTCAGTTTTTCTTCTTAGGATCACTTAATGAGTCATTATTTACTTTTGTCACATAGCAATACAGGACTTGATTTCTGGGAAAAAAACTGTAACTCTGCCAAGGTTGTTGCTGAATAGAAGCAGCATATTTACCATAACAAAGTTTAAGCTCATCACATGGGAAGTTTCCAGATATAACTTTCATTGTGGTTTCATATTTTCCACTACGTTCCTGAGGGACAGCAGCTCCTTTCAGATAAGGTCTGCTCAGTAATGATCTTGAAAGCTGTTTCTACTTGGAAAGGAGAACACCTACGAACACCATAGGAAAAGTACCATAAAAAGTCAGGATGCGAACCTGGGAGCACTTCAGTTTGGGTTATGACAGCAGGAATTTTAGGATGCAGAGTATATGGGGAGCTTGTGCACTGGTGCCCTCCTGCCACCAGGCTGGGACAGGGTGTACTCCCAGAGTGTGGCCTCGGGCTTTAGTTTCACTACAACCCTTTAAGCCAAGTAGTTTCAAAGGTCTGCACTGGCTGGTGTCCTGACAGGGTTTGGAGAACCCTGAGGAAAGAGACTCACTTTTGCTTGCTGTAATCTTCACTCATCTGTTTCCCGCACAGAGTGGGGTTTGTTTGGGGTTTTTTTAATGCTAATTGATAAAGCATATGGGCTAACCAAGTTTATAGGGTGAGTTCCAGTTTAACAGGAGTAAAGTGGATCACATTGTGCCTAGCCAAGCCCTGGAGTGATGGGGATCAAATGTTCCTGTTGTCTTAGTCACACCATGAAGGAGTAATTTCTAATGCTCAGAAGGTGTCCTTGCAAGCCTGCAGTGCCAGAGCCGTAGGAGAAACAGGCAAAGGAAGAAGTGTTATGTTTTCTCCAGATTAGCCTGACCAGTTTACTATAGTGGTTTAGGAAGAAGCAAGGAGCAACTTTTGCCACTGGGATAGTACGTGAGGTTTGCTGCTGTACCCTGCTTGCCATGCACTCGTTAGGAACCGCACATGTACAAACCTGAGGTTCTGCACGACTGCAGTGCCAGGCTATAAATACAGGCAGCTTCAGCAGAGCTGATGTGATTTATGCCAGTTGGGGACCTGGTCCAGGGGCCAGGCTAAAACACTGATACAAGGAAGTCTCTTTGACTTTCATTTTCAAATACTCTAATTTCAACAGCTCTGCATTCATGTTAGGGTTGCCTCTATCTTCCTCCCTCCATCCTCTCCTGCTGGTCCTGTACATTTTTGTTTGACCTTTACATTGTATCAAATGGGATCAAAGCAGAGGTTTTGGGGTTTGGTTTGGTAGGTTTTCTTGATATTTGTTTGTTCAGGATCTGCTGCTTTTGTTTTTTTGGGTTTTTTTTTGTCCCAGACTACCTTTTGAGTGTCTACTCCAGTGGAGACCTTATAAGAACTTCTTACAAGAAGTTTTGGCTTGACCTCTGAGGTGTGAACTGACAGTAGTCTGTTCTTAGGATGTCTTTCTCTTTAGACTAGTCTCTCAAGACTATGAGAAACTTGCAGCAGCTTTCTTTAAAATAGAACTCACTGAGCAGTCTGCAGTCTTGTATGCATGTGTCCCCAGTTCTTGGACTGCTTGGTTGCAAGCTGGGGCTCACCCATGCCCTATCTCTATCATCTTTTATCATTAGGACTGTACAAAATCTTAGATTAAAAATACAGAGCAAGAATCACTTTTCACAAAGGGAAACTGCTGAAATTTGCAAACAGAAAAGGGAGGAAGCAACTTTGATTTCTGTTATGCTTAAAAGGATGCTTCTCAGCCAAAGACTACAATTCCCAAATGTCATCATGAAATCTTGACAATTTGCCCAAACACCATTTTCATTCAGGAAGTTTGTGATTAATAGAATTAAGCTCTAATCATGCAAAGCATAGGGAAGTATGTGAGAATACCCACCTTTTACAGCATGGCATTTGTTGGCACTCTCAGCTTGGTTGCAGCAGACAAGATTAAAGGATTAGTAAGCAAGCCAGATACTGAACTGCTGCTGCTGAAGTTGTATTTTGCCAGTATATTTATTACAGAGGATTTTTAAAGCCTTCAGAACAATGTCCTGTATCCTTATTTCTATGTTAGCTTGTAACAGTGTATCTTTAATGAAGTGGAGAGCTTATTCGTAAGGTAAGCATGAGGTGTCCAAGTCAGTTTGGCCCATTCCTTTGGCTGTCTGTATAGCTTTGGGGTCTTCATTTTCTTTTTTGTTCTATGAAGTCTTCTGTGAAAGAGAAGCAGATTTTTGACAATGTTGACACAAGCAGGGAAACCCATGCTGAGGTCTGGTCTTACACTGAGACAAGAGGAAACTTTAGTCTCCTTTGGAGGATGCTGGCCATACCTGATACTGCCTGCCAGCCAGCCAATTTATTTTCTGGAAGATGTTCCAGAACAAAGCCCTAAGGCCTGTTCTCCAAATCCCTGCTTAATCACAGAATAGGCTGAGTTGGAAGGGACCCATCAGGATTAAGTCCAACCCCTGACCTTGCACAGAACACCCCAAGAATTGCACTGTGTGCCTGAGGGAATCATCCAAACACTTTTTAATTCTCCTTGTGTCAGAATATATTGTAATGGCTTCACTTAACCAACTGAGGATTGCAGCATTTTTTTTAAAATTAGCAATATGAATGTAAGGAATTGAATGTTAAGCTACTGACTTTCTTTTTTTCTGTGTAATGTTACACTTGGTAGGATGCTTTTCCACAATCCTCAGCTTGGGCCGTTGATTTTTCACAGCTCCCGGCTGGTAGGAAATGCTCCCGATGTATTGAGGTAGAAGGAAGGTAGGTTGGAGCAGGAGCCAGGCAAAACGGAAATCCAGGGAAACTGCTCCATCAAGTGTTGAAAGGTAAAACTGGCACTGCAGGAGGCTAAAAATACAGGTCTGCCTTGGGCCGGAAGCAAGGTGATCTACACATGTCCAGTACAGACCAAATATGAAAAATCTCTACTGAGCTTCAAAGGGTCAGATTCCCCTCTGAGCTGCATAACCGGGGCATTCATTTTAATTTGGTGTTTAATCCCTTAAAAATATCCACTGCAGTGACCAGCTAAAAGCTGATCTTTTTTTTTTTTTCTTCTCCAACAGTTCTGATAAAAGCAAATGTTTTGCATATATGCACATCAAATGCATGCTCCAAAAGTAAAGTTTTACTTGCTTTCCTTTGAAATGGAACAATAATTGTTGAAAGATTTTTTGGGAGAGAAAACTAAGCATTTGTTTTATCTTGCATTTTAAGAGTGTATTTAATTATTCTGTTAAATGCTGATAGATATAAAGGCTGGTCTGCATGTACAAATGTCACTGAAATAATTTTTAGGCTTAGATATTTAGGCTTTCTTACATTCATGGTGAAATTCGAACCCTTATGACCTGAAATTTTTCCTTTATTTTACTTTCTCATTTAGGATATCTGCTCTGCTTGCTGCTTAGACAAAGTTTACCATCTACAAGTAGACTTTGATTTTTATGCTATTTTTTTCCCAAAATGTGTCCACTCTTACACAGCCACTTGAATCAAATGAGGTAAATTTCAGTCAGTTTTTAGCTTCTAGGGCCTTCTGTGGAGAAACTACACTGAATTTTTATTGAAACTTCATAAGAGAATAAGAAATTTATTAAAATCTTAGTTGGAAATTCCAGCTAGGAAGTGAACAGGATTGATGTAGTGTAACCTGATTTTCAATCAAATGCTGTGCTATGAAGAATTTAATTTTTGTAAAAAGAGGTAAGAGCTTTTAAATGTCGGTTCTTCAAAATGTCATTGCTGTTTAGATTTAAAAGCTTTCTGGTAGTGTTTTTTGGGGTTTTTTGGGTTTTTTGTTTGTTTGTTTGTTTGATTTTTTTTTTTGTTTGAGTGACAGAAAATTCTTTCTTCTACTATTTTTGCTTAAAGCTATTGAGCTTTTCCCTGTTTCTGCCTCTTCCCTAGGAGCTGTCCCAGGATTTGTTTTGTCTTTTCTTGACTGGTACCTTCAGGAACCTCAAATCTTTATAGAGTCATGTAGTCATTTAGATTGGAAAAGACCTTAAAGATCATAAAGTCCAAACATAACTGTTCTGATATATTGCATCCATCCCCAAATGTTGAATGAGGTTGGGGGAGTATACAAAAGCTAAAAATTTCCTTGAAAGCCTCAGACAGGTGCCTAATATTCACAAGCAGGTACAGCTCAGGGTATGCTCACTCCTGCACCCTGTAAGCAAATAACTATCAATAATATATTCTATAAAATATAGGATTTCTATTAAAATATTGTCAAATCCCACCTTTTTTGTAAATGTGAGTTAAAAACACAGTATAAAAGCAACCCAATAAGAGCAGCACTTTGAGTTTCTGTACCTGTTTAAAAAAATGTATATGTTTACCAGTACATAAAAACTTCCCTGAATTTTGAGTTGGTGAGAAGATGATTAGTTTATAGAGAAATAAATAACAACCACCCCTAACTTGTTTCAGAAAAGACATGGAGGGGGAGTTACTAGCTTGATAGGTACTGAAGTACTTAGTAGGTACTGAAGCAGTACCTACTGCCCTCAGTGGGGTGCAAAAAATGTACATTGGATGGCTTCAGGTGCCTCCCAGAATTGTTTGGGTTTGTGTTGAATTTATCAGCATGGCTGAAAACCAGACTGAAGGGGAGAGTGGTAATTTCTGGGGGACCTGTCAGCAGAGAATAAAGAAAAGGATGGTGAGTCAGTGCAGAGCGATACTGTTTTTCATCTAAAATCCCAAAAAACCCCTCCACTACTATGCAGAACAACAGGTGTAACCACAAGCTTTCCTAGCTCCCTCCCCCAGCCCCAGTTAATTTAGGTTTCTAAGCCTATGGAATGAGTACAACATGATGGAGCCAAGATTTATGAAAAAATACCCATGTTAATATAGGCTGTAAAATAAACGCAAAAAAAGCTGAAGTAAAACAGCTTTTATTCACATGAAAAAATAAACCTGCTAGCTCTGATAATCAATTAAATTATTATAGAATCAAGCAATCACAGATGTAGAAGCTTATCCTCCTTAAAGTCATTATAAATCACATCCTTTCCTAAATCTTTCTATTCCCTTTTATTGCTTACATTATAATCCCTGTCCGGGTATCATTTTCATTGCTAAACACACTGTTTGCCAGTCAGTTTATTAAGGTTTGTCTTGATAGTGCCAAAACAAATGCTCCTTTTCAAAGATAAAAGGAAGGCTAATATTAAAACAATAATTTCACCTCTTTGCTGGCAGAGCCTACTTATTGAAGAAATTGGCACATGGGATCTCTGAGGTGACAGCGAATTAGTGTGTCAATAGGAGCCTGCTTTGAAGTTGACCCACAGTGTTCTTGGTGGTGCTGGGTATACCCTGTCTCTTGCACTAGGATTTGGGGAAAGAGAACTGTTTGGGGTGGGAAGCAGCCAGTAGTGAAAGTGTTCTTCACTGGTTTTAATAGAATAAAAGGTTTAGTGATAAAAAGGATGCGACACATAGTAGACACAAAAAATAAAAGCAGAAAAATTATAGACTTGAGGCTGTAGTGACAGGAGAAGGGCTAACGACTTCAGCTGAAAGAGAGCAGGCTTAGTTTAGATACAAGAAAGAAATTCCTTGCTGTGAGAGTGGTGAGACAGTGCCCAGAGAAGCTGGCTGAGGGTGCCCCATCCCTGGAAGTGCTCAAGGTCAGGTTGGATGAGGCTCTGAGAAATCTGGTCTAGTGGAAGGTGTCTCTTCCCACAACAGGGCTTTGGAGCTACATGATCTTTAAGGTCCCTTCCAAACCAGGCCATGACTGGACTGCAAAGAGGCATTAAGGAGAATGTCTTAATTAATTAATGCCTTAATTAAAGGGAAGCAAACACTTGTATTACACCCAAAATTGCCATAATTTCAATTGAAACCTGGGGGAAGCATGAGCCTAACAGCTTAACAATCCTTCTGACTTATATGCAAAAGCTACTTCAAACTAGAAGCAGAGCTCCTAAAAACATGACTTAAACCCAAGCCTGAGAACAGATGAGATGTAAATTAAATGTGTTCTGTTTTTCTGTGGTTTAGCTGGTGGCAGGTAGATCCAGAGCCAAGGAAAACTGAAAAGCCACACTAGGCCTCAGGGGTCTGAGCGCTGGGAGACAGAAGCTGCTGGTAAATGGGAAGGCTGTTAAGCCCTGAGCGCTCAATACCATTTCAGCTTGAAATGCTCAAATTTCATGAGAACTTGATGAAATAAAATCTAACTAATGCATCATCCAAATATGTATTTTATGTATACAATATGTGTGTATATACAAAGGAACCTGAGGAAATGTCATGAAATGGTCAGGGAATGTTCAGGCAGGATATCAGGAACAGGTTCTTCATCCTGAGGGTGTTTGGGCAGTGGGACAGGCTCCCCAGGGAAGTAGTCACAGCACTAGCCTGACAGAGTTCAAGAAGCATTTGGACAATGTTCTGGGACACATGGTGGGATTCTCAGGGTGTCCTGACCAGGGCCAAGAGTTGGACATGATGATTCTGCTGGGTCCCTTCCAACTCAGCAAATTCTGTGTTTCTATAAATTGATTGCAACAAGGACAAGACAAGCAATGTTCCCCTTTTTGCATGGATAAGACTATTTAAAATAAGAAGGCTGTCTCATCTCTAGTTGACCAAAACATTAGGAATAACGGTACTTGAGATAAAGAAACAGGTCAAGATGAGGTAGCATGGGGGCAACACTTAAAGATAAAGAAAAATCTTATCTTTCAGATAAGAACAGTCAAGTGTCTTCCTTTGGAGATGCTTTTTGCTTCACATTAAATAGGAAATTGTATGTTCTTTGATGTTCCAAACTTCCTTTAAAGATGAAGCCAGAAAAATGATTGATTGTTCAAGGGTTTGTCCCTGGAATTGTAAAAGTGGCCTCAGTGGTGTTTTGTCTATAGATACAGGCTAGTATTAAATTTCCACTACAGGCTGGAAATCTGGACATGGAGAGATGGATCTCCATATCACCAAAGAGATTTACAGTAGATCAGAGAAAGGAAAACTTTAAAAGTGGAGTGAAAATGTTGAGGTTAGTGTTTGTATTAATGTAACTGTACTGACTTTGGTGTATTTCTTTCAAATTTTTGTCTTAAGGTTAAGATGTCTGTTGGGGTTTATCTCTGGAGAATTACCAACTTAGCTGAGGGGGAAAACATCTTTAATTAAGAAATATCTTCTTTTTCTTGTGATGGAAAGTGAAATATAA